CGTTTCTCACGCTACTTGACACACTGGTTGGAGGTATGATTTCACTTGAGGTCTCGCTCTCTGCTTGAAACGCCCTTTCAACACGTTGCTCCAGTGTTTCCACTTCAGATGGAAGGCATTGAGGCTCTGGAGAGGAGGACTTACTGAAACGCCATTGAGCACGAACTTTGTCCAAGACTCGTTTTGGGTTTTCTCCTCCTAGCTGCGGATGGTCAGAAATTTTTGCTTTCACCGTTGCTAAAGTAATAGCTTCGTGCTCAATTTCATCCTTGAAAACTGCTTTGATCAGAGCTTCCTTGTCCTCTTTCCATGAACTTCTGGAAGTTTTGGGGACAACAGCCTCTGAAGCAGATGGGCTTTTTAGGCTGACAGAAATGCTGTTTGGTTTGGCTGTTTGGTCTGGATGGTCTGACTGTTTACGCATTATGTTGCGTAGCTGCTTGGAGGCCTGAACTGAGGAATTGTTCTTTTCCTGTAGACGGTAATATTTGTTTGCCGTCTGCAGATTGTGGGCCATCAGGTCTGCGAGATTCCCCCTGGCTTCATTACTGTCGCTTGCTGTGTGTACTTGAGAAACGGCCGACTTTCTGAGGAGAGTTGAGCTAGGGTTGCCATCCACTTGAGCCTTCTTCCAGACTGATTTGATCGCTTTGTTTATTTGACTCGATACCATCGGTTCGCCATTCCACGTCAAAAAGACGTTTGAGGTAGGGTTACGACTTGAGCTGGAAACCTTCGATCGTGCCTCCCTCACAAAAATGGCCATCCAACTGTACAATTTCGGGCTTAGTACTACTCTTGCTGGACCGTGTGTGGCGAAAGTCTTCTGATCACTTACATGAACAACGTATTCATCACCATGTTTCACGGCACTGTTCAGTTCTCCCATTTTCATGTTTGCTAGGACTCCAGCCCTGTTGGCGTTATCAATTGAAATCTGAACTAACAAAAAGTCTCTGGCAAGGGTGTAATTGGCTTGCGTCATTTCCAAGCAGTGAGCTCCCGATAGCTGCCCGAAGAGACAAATGGCATTTCTTGCAGCTTGGCTTCGTTCGAATTCGGTTATTTGCTTGGGAGTAATTAAAGCGTTCAAGTCTTCTTCCATTTTTTCCCAATGACGTTTTGAGCAGCCTTTTCGAAAAGATGAGGACCACCTGGTTACTTTCTCTTTTACAGAAAGTATCTGTTCCTTAGATATGTTCACGCCACAGTCGTTGCTCAAAGCAAAGGAGTAGAAATGGCGGAGACTCATCAAATAGGATTTAGTGGTTTTGGGGTGGTACTGATGTTTTGCAAATCCTTCCAGAAATTTGTCATTGATGATATTGGAGTTGAAAAGCGATGCCATCTCTTGTTTGCTATCGATCACTTTCAAGAGCTTAGAAATTTGCTTTCCATGTTGCTCGCTTGTCTTGTCGTCCAGGTTCCCTCCGTCCGCAGAGTTCAGCCAAGCTTTAAACTGAACAGTAAATTCAGGTGGATCGATATCTGAAGATTCAATGTGGCTTGCTTCGCCAATATCACTTTCATCTTGCTGGTCTTGTTCCTCGTCTTCAATGGTCACCACTTCATGGAACGATGACTCAGATGTTAGAGACACGCTTGCTTCGTCTCCTTTAGTAGCTCGAGGTCGTTTATGATATGGTCTCATTTGTGATTCCTTGATTGGGCCTCGTACTCTTGATAACAGATCTTTGTACTCCTTAGCGTTGGGATCCAGCTTATGTACATTCCTTAAGTGCGCAGGGATTCTCTTTACTAGGGAAGTGCATCCATCGACTGGACAGTAGCGGTGTTTATGATAGTCTTTTCTCTTCTTGTCATTGGTGTTCTCCTCTTTCTCATCTGTCGATTTTTTTGCTTTCTTCTGAGGAACTTTTGCAGAGTCTGAGAAGGTGTAACTCTTTCTCATTCCAAAGCGCGTAACAGCGGTTCTAGAATGTTCTTGAGACCAACCATGCACGTTTTGAAGATGGCGTGGGAGGTGAATCACGCTGGCACCACATAAAGGTAGAGGACACTTCTTTAATCCTCGAGTTGTCTCCTTCTTAATCTTTTTTGTCGAGACTTTTTTTTCTTTTTTTGCTTTAGCTCTTTTTTTCTTTCCATTGCCACCATTCGTCTTGACTCTTTTGTCATCTCCATCAACTTCACTGTCAATATCATCTTCACTCCCTGCACTGTCCTCAGTAGATGAGCTTGTATCACTGTCTGGTTGGTAAGACTGACTGGACTCGCTACCTGATGATGGTCCTTCATCCTGCACACAGTAAGAATATTAATTACTTAAAAGATCATTCTGTCAGGTCTACTTTACAAAGGAAAATGGTCAGCTACACAACTCAGATCTCAATGTCTTGATTGAAACTTCGTTTACTGTCTGAACAACATTTTGAAAGCTTTTAATACTCTACTAGTTCTTAAAATGTCCTTTTTCTCTCGTTCTATTATATTAGGTATACATTTCCTCTCATTAACAGTTCACCTT